TCCCTTCTCCTTCTTCCCGATTGGTCATTCTCCTATCTTCCACGCGAAAACAGAGAACTATTCGGGTCGCGAGAAAGGTCCGCATCTGGGAGTTCACCCGGCATCCTCCGTGGGCTCTGACCGGGAGGTGTTGATGGAGCTTAGAAACCTGCGCTCGTATTTTACTCCGTTATTGTCTTTTCCCTGACGTTTTAGAGCTTAAACGACCTAACAGATGTCCTTTTGGTTATTAACCCTCATTTTCTCGATTTTCTAAACTCTGTCGCTCGTATACGAGCGTCTTGACAAAGCTCCCTCTGTCTCCCGGTCGACATTCCCCTACGTCGTTCATCTTTGCGTCGCGTTTATTTTGATATACTGTAATATGTTTTCCCTCCTGTCTCTGTTTTATGTCACTAACACGATCTCTTGGTCCGACTTGACAACCGAAATTTCCCGTCTTAGAAATCTTATAATTAGTCGTAATTTCGACTCGATTTTGGAACCTCACACGGCGCCGAATTAAGTCTAGACAAAATTTAAATTGAGATCCATTTAAATAAGTTGCTTCTAAAGAAATATTATATAATGTCACTTAAAATTTTCATTAATAATACAGAACGCAAACGCTAATACAAGAACAATTGTACTGTATAATAAGTTTCTGGTATAACGAAAAGTATATAAAAATATATATAATTACAGTAAAACCTCTCTTAAAGAGCACCTCTCATAACGAGTAATTCGCATAACGAGTGAGGAGGAGAGGGGAAGTCCCGGATTGTGAGCATGCTCCATCAGTCTGTGTTTAGCACCGTTCCGCCAGCATCTTAGCCAGCAAATTGTGATCACACATTTTTCCAAACTTGTGTTCACACATTCTGGTGTTTTTTTAGAGAGAGGGCAGATTTAATCTTGCCCATTCTTGGTTTCTGAAGATCCGCAATGTGGGCTGGCGGACTGTGTGAGACGTGACTCGACACATTAGATAAGATCGCCCTGGATTCTTCAACAGCTCGAATTCGATCTCAGAGCGGTAGACTGAAGTCTTAACCGCTCAAACATCCGGCCGTCACCTTCTTATACTAGGTGTTGAAAATATAACAAATAGCGACACTTCCATATAAACAGTTTGTTAATGTACAGTACACTAGACACTTCCACATGACTTGTTTTTAGTTGGTCTGTAATGTACCACATCTCTCACGTAATATATTATTTCGGTGAGAAATCGATATTCGATGTACATCATTTTGTTCACGACACGTTTTAGGAACTTAAGTAGGACATACCGTAATTAAATACGGGCAATATATACAGTACAATATATTTGTTTTTAGCTTTAAAAATATCATTTAATTGAATTCTAAATAGCAAACTGATTGGACGAGACACTTTAAATGGGACACAAAAATTACGAAGTAACGTATATACTCGTGTATACGAAAAACGACGGGGGCAGATCGACAGAGAAAAAAATTAAACTTGTTACGGACGTAATGGTGAACGAAGATCGGTTTCGGCAAAGTTCGAATATCGAGATTTACAAAAAAATTACAACAAAAGATAAAAAATGGCATAATACCGGAAATCTTCTCACATTTTAAAGTGTCCAACAAAATCTCTTCTGATACACGCCTTTGAATTTTCACCACAATAAAGAAGTTTTTAAATGTGTTAGATTGGTCACTCGGTATGATAAACCCTCGTAAGATAACCTTCGTAGTTATATAAATCAAATACTATAATATAAGAAACATTAAAAAGAAAACCATATAAAGAATTTGGTTATTTCAGCTTACTATTGTAGTGTTTATTGTGACACTCGCATGGTACGAAATGGCACAAATGGTTAAGTTAAGTAGACAGGAACTGAAAATATATCTTCAATTTTCAGATATATTTTTTCATCTTAACTTTAAGAAACTGTACCAGTCACCGCCGAATATCAAACGGTAATCTGCCAACCAATTATATTTCGGAAAAAACGGACCAAATATTTATACGCGGCACCCTCGAATATCACTTAAATCATATTTTGTGCTCGCCGGGTAACCTCGTATTACATAATTTTCCTATTCGAATGCCACCATACCGCTGATCCCATAGAAAGAGCGGAAGGGGGTTGAAATAATTCGACCGAAAGTAATCGTTGATCTCCTCCCTGAAGAGCGGATGCTCAACGACTTCTAATTAATACTAATCTATTAATAATACTTGAAACGTGATCCGTGTTAGACAGGTTATGATGGCGCCGCATGTGATCGAAGTTGTTAACCTTAACGTCCGAGACTTCATATAAAACTTGTTTAATTAAATAAATAAAATCTTGAAAAATGCGAGAATAGTTGCTTTTATGTGATGTGTTTAAATTTTGGCAACAGATTGACTAAACTATGTCGAAAGTATGGTCTCGTAAATATTGAATTTATAAAAAATTATCGTGCTGCAATTGAAAAAATTGTAGACCTATAAATTCCGACTGACGTCCTGCCTGTCTGTCTGTCTGTCTCCTGCCTTAATCTCGAGAAAGAAGTTAGATGAATGAAGAAACCAGATGTGGAAAGCTCAGAGGTAGGAGGCCCAGATTAACTATATATGAACGTCCGGTTTGAAACATTAATCACGTTACTTCGATTCAAAAATTTTCCCCGAAGGGAGTTAAGACAGCAATAGAATCGTGGCGGTCATTAACAGGAAAAGTATGATGTATAGTACGGGGTCAAGACACCGCTAAAAGAAGTGAGAACATTGTGACGATATCACAATAAATAATCGCTCGTTAGAATTAGTTTAGTTTATTTGGTTACGGCAACGCGACACGTGAGCGATCTGCCCAGGAGAATGCATCCCGGAAACTTTTATCTGAGTTCCGAACACAATCTCTTCTGACTCAGAAAAAATCCCAAGGTGGGCTAGTGCACCCCAGAAGGCGTTTTTTTTTTTTTAAGACTTGTTACATGGGCAGAAAGTGTAGTACAGAAAAATCTGTTAAAAACAAGCAAAGATACATACAATATCTTAACATTATGGATGACATTTTATCATCTAATGAATTAAGTGTTTACTGCATTGGCTGCAATAATATTGAACATCGCTGTAACCTTACAGCAGCATTCTTAGTTTTTTTTTTATTACCTGCAGATTACTTCACATGTAAAAAAACATGAACAGTTTATTAGTAAATCAAAAAATTATAGAAAAAAAAACTTTCAACTTTGTCATAGGTGTAAGATAGTCATGGCTTTGACCATTTTTGTCAATTTTAATGAATTTTTTTGTCTATTCTTTATTTTTTATTAGCTCTTTAAAATTTCAACAAAATATGTAGAAATTCATAAATATAAACAAAAACTTGAATATTTAATGCTTTACAAAGGCTTTCTGTAAATTGAAAATAATACAAAAATGTAAACAAAAATTTTAAAGATGTTAATACAGACTGTATTAAAACCTTTATAATGGAAGTTTATGTGAAACATACAAGCCATATAAACCTAAAATTGTTTTCATACAATTATTCATTTCAGCTTTGAAGATGTTTATAAAATCAAAGATGAAACATGATCTAATCAATCATCGCATCTGATTTGTTTGATGCAACCAGTGTTCAATCTCACCATAAACAAAATATATTTTTAATAATTATCAATTTATATTCAATGAAATGTTATGGACACACAATAATGCTTAAAATGTTTCAAAATTTTTATACAGGGTGTCACAAAAAAAATGTACACACTTTAACAGCTGATGGAAATAAAAATACATCCATTGAGCTATGTTAAACCCATTAGAATTAATAATGGAAGTCAGACTAAGTTTTGAAAAAAGGAAATTCATCTAAAATGCTACTGGAAGTGTGAAAATGCAGTTGAAGTACACAGTTTAGGAGGCTACAATCAAATTAAATTTAATTAATTAAATGGTACAATTGATTGCCATGACTGCGCCTACTGGGGACCTGATAATCCGCATGTTACGGTGGAACATCGTGTTAATTTACCAGGAATTACGGTGTGGTGCGGCATATCATCAAGAGGATTAATTGGACCGATCTTTTTTGACGCTACTGTGACTGGTCCCGTTTACTTGAACTTGATGAGACAGTCGTGTCATGCCAAGCATTAGAAAAGACTTTGATGATAAGTTTTATTTTCAGCAAGATTCCCCACACTATCATCATAATGTTAGATCCTACCTTGAGATCTGGCCAAACAAGGTGGAGTGGACGAAGGTGTTTTGTAGAATATCCTCCGCATTCACCAGACCTTTCACCACTAGACTTTTTTTTTTATAGGGATACTTAAAAGATATTCTGCATTACGAAACCTGCAACAGTTGCTGAATTGAAAGCAGCCATTGAATGAGAATGAGTACAAATATTAATATTAAACAAAATGTTTCGTGATTTTTGCGATGCCATTGCTTTGCGTTGTCGGCAGTGCCTGGACCAGAACGGACGTCAATTTGAAAACAGGTGTTGACAAAACAAATAATGTCTGTAGATTCTATTACATTTTGAAAATGAAATATGTTTTAATAAACATCAACTTTATAATTGTTCAAAGTGTGTGTACATTTTTTTGGGACACCCTGTAGATGTTAATTATTTACAGTATAATAATAAACTTTATATAGCTTGAGTGTAATTAACTACTAAATGATTCATAAATGATAAAATTTTAATTTTTAAAGTCTGAATTTTTTTTAATAAATGACTTGAAATAAATATGAACTTAATAATTTAAAAACTTTAAAAATAATTTAAATAACTGTTTTTAGTGCATATTATTTACTTAACTGACATATAATTTAATATTTAATGAAATTTCATTAAATTTGAAATTTAGATAAACCAAAAAGATCTCTTGCTTTTTAGCCATAACCTTTATTATACGAAACAAAAGCTTATGTAAAATTAATGTTTATGTACTTTATGTATTATTAGTTTTTATTCATTTAAGTTAATTTTTATTAAATAAGAAGATTAGCTCTATAAAATACAGTTGCTTATGCAATTACTGATATTATAGCATTTATTTTACACAGATACAGTGCTTTTCTGCATTGGATATAAGCAAACCAAGAGCCCAAATAATTGCAGCATCTATCAACAAGCTTGTTTATTACATCTACTTTTAAGTGTGAGAACAATAGGTATTCAGAGACCAGATAATCCATTGACTCTGGTTTCAGTAATCGAAGATGGGCTTATACTAGTGTTTCAACAAAGATGTCAATCAAGAATGGTTGTGAATTTGGCAGTTAATTGTTTTGTTTATTTTCATTCTTGAAGCTTAAGAAAGTGCGTTGCCTTTCTTTTACAGTTACTTATTTCTGATTTCCATACTATTGGCATTCATAGTGAATTTTCCCATTTCCACAATGACAGCATGTGCCAGCTGCGGGTTATCCGAGATAATAATAATCCACCGAGGTCTGCTTCACGTGGTGAATCACCACCTGAAGCAGACCTCGGTGGAGGTCGAAAGCATTTGTGGAGTAGTTAAGAACATAACACTTGTACAGCAAGGTTTTCGTGGATTATTATTACTGAACGAAGTGTTAAATTGTTGGAAGTCGTTTTATTCGAGATAACTGGTGTGAAACTAAGTTTTAATACATGATCGGACTCTACTGTTGATAATCTCCATAATGTTTATAGGAAGCATTACTATTTGCCAAAAACATTGAAGTTGAAAATTCACGCACTCAATTTGCAGTGTATTTTTATTTTTAACTTTAATTTTCCCAAGCAAAGCCAGATATGTCAGAAGGTATATATTGTTTACTTCCTGTACCCACTTCTAAAGATTTTTGGACATTGTTGGCAGAAAATGCATTCAAAACATCTATATCATCTGAACACACTTTACTTAGTGATATTTCCTTTACTCTACAGTTAAATGTGTAGTTATCTTCACAAGAACAAAATATTGAATAGTCTTCAATCATATGAAGTTAATTTCCAGTTGAAACATTAATTCTTTCTCAGAATTTTACTAAGAAAAATAAACTGATAATTGCTAAAACTAAAATTGCAATATTCCTTTTAGGTTTTTATATTATTTAAAGGGGAGAGCACGAACGCAGTCCCCAGCTACCACAAATTACACATCCCATCTGCCCCAGTTTGGAGTAGTGGCAGGAGTCAGCTAAACCCAAGTGCAATGGTCAAGCCTCACCCTGGGGAAACTGCCGTCTGGATCACGGTTGTCCCGGCGCCAGGTTTTTATATACATTTTATTATGTTTAGGTATCTAAAAACTAATTTACTCACAGCTTGTGAATTCAAATCAAATGTTTATAAATTCTTACAAATGAAACAAATTTTACCATTTACTTGGTTCTCTTTCTGATAAAATTAAATCTTCTTTCCATATAATCTGTTGCTTATTGATCTTTCCTGCCAGCCATTTATGAAACTGTTTTTGTGTAATGGGAGAAATTGGTTTCAGAAATCTTTCCTTCAGATTCTGATCAAGCTCATTCATCTTAGCCAGATGTTGTTTTAAAGTTTCTTTGTATTTTTCACTGTGTGGTTCCGTCTTCTGTAAATGTTTTATAATACGGTTGCAGGAAAGAAAGACCTCTGATATTTTGTTGGAAATAAACTTTTTTGTCTTCAGTTTCTTCTTATACATCATGCACAACAGGCACATGCAATAGATTTCCCAACTGATCTCTTCAATTTGCTTAAAGGTGGTTCTAAACCAGTTTCTTGCAAGCCATGTTCTCATCCTGATGCATTTATTTAACAATACATTATGTTCCTCCAAATTAATAAATGTCCTAATTTCCTTTTCTACATCATTTAGTTGAATGATGTACAGTATGTGAGTTTTGGCAAGAATAAATACTGATAGATTCTTTTTCTTACCAATTTCTTTTATCATAGATCCAATCACTGGATAATTATATTGAATAGTAGTTAATTTTGGTTCGTGGCATATGGAGCGTATTCCATCATTAAGGGTTTTTAATATATAATCTTTCTTCTTCGAGGATAATATATGCCATTTTTTGATGTATGTACCAATAAATCCTTTATTCTTGATAGGAATATTACATAAAGGACAGACCGGTCTTGAATTCTGAAATGAATCCAATGTTGATATCAGGGTTATTCGGTTAAACATGTGGCCACAACTTAATTCTAAAATTTGTCCGCATTCAGGCAAAAGGTAATTTTCATACATTTCTGGATTGCAAACAGAACACAAAGATGGGCATGTTTCACCACATATTCCGACACACCGATGACCACAAGTTAATATAAGTGGACAATCTCTTTCGCATAGACCTCTATCACATTCTTCCCAACATTGCTTACTACATCTGTAATGAGAACATGCCCATGCACATTGATCATAGCATTTTTCGCAAAGATCTCCACACAATTTATCACATGCCTTATGTGAGCATTCCCAGTCGCAAGGTAGTGAACACGGAGGACAGGGAACTCCACATTTATCTTTACACTGATGTCTGCAATTCAAGACGGTTTGACATCTCTCTTTGCAGCCCTCGTGCACAGATATAGATTTACAGTTCGAACATATTCCTGTACATTTATGTCCGCAATTCAAAATTGTGTTACATCTCTTATAACAACCATTATTGAAGTATTCTTCTCTCTTTTCTTTTAGCTCCACACAAGCAATATTAACTCTGTGCTTGCAGGGTAATAATACATCCTTCCGCTTGTTGCACGTTAAATCAAAAGTATCTTTTTCCATACATTTAATGCTAACAGAATGATCACAAGAGAGACGTATAGTAATTGTTTCATCACATTTATATTCATTTTGCTGACAGCATGGAATGCAAACTTGTTTACCACATTTACACATGTAATATATTGATTCCATACATTTAAAATTTTCATTATCTGAAGGATAATGAGTTGTATGTCCGCAAGTGAGTCGTCGTATTTTATCCTTGTTTTCAGAAGTCTCAATCCATTCACTGTAAGGAAGATGACTGCCAATTAATCTTCCATACATAGATGCACTAATCTCATTGTCTATTTTAACAAGAGGATCTGAAGATGATCCAAAAAGAATCAAATGTTCAATATTTGAATGTAAAAATGGTATTAAGTAAGGCTCTGGTATTTTGTTTGCTTCTAATATCATTACAATTGTTACATGTGGCTTAATACTGTTAAAAACATCAATATTGTTTAATGCTGTCTTAGAAGTTGCAAGAATTATTGAAGCATCTTTAATAATATCACAATTGAACTTGCAACAAAGACTGTCCAGAACATCTAACAATTGGTAATAATGTTGCTTTTCATTACATGCATCTCTTTCTAAACCATCTATTATTGAATTTTTCCAGTATCTCACAAGTCTCCATCGGTCAATAAGGTCAAGAGACCAAATATCAGATACATCAGCAGCTTCTTCCTTGCTCATTTCATCTTTAATATTAAACATATTATTAGCAATATAATGGAAATAGTTACTACTGTGTTTATCAAAGTGACATTCATTTTCCAATACTCTGAACCAATTAAATTCTTCGGAAAAATATATGTATGCAATAAAAGTATCTTTTGTGAGGCACAACCATTCTAGAATTTTGTTTTGTTTCAAAAGAATGTAGCAATCATTAAATTTCAATATCTCTTCATATTTTAAAACTTCTAGAGGATCTCTGTTTCCAATATCAATTTTATTCAATATTTTCTCTATGTATTTGCCATGTTGCCTAATTATTTTCTTCAATTGCTTATTGTCTTTTTCTAATTTATGTTTCTCATGCAGCAATATTGGTCTTTTGCTAATATTTACACACTCCACACTCATTTCTTCTATCATCTTTTCTGAATTGCACAAAATTAATATAGGACAATGCTCACCTTTCTGCCAAACTGCTCTGTTAAATTCTAATATTTTAATTATATTTAAACAGAGACTTGCACATAAATTGTCATCAGCTTTAACTAAAGCTAATTCTCGCTGGAATATTTCTTTAATCATATTTACTTCCTGTGGAGAAGTACAGAATTTATCCACAGGCCATGTTTTATTTAATATTTTAATTTTCAATTTTTTAGTTTTATTTTCATTCTGATTCTCAGTTTCAAACCATTCATCTGCCTGAAAATTACTTAATGGAGTAAATTCCATTATTGTTGAGGAATTTATATACTTTGGAGGTTTAAGAGATTTTTCTTCTTTCACAATTAAATTTTCAAATGCTAAGTCTTTTTGGCCTTTTAAAGCACAAAGAATTTTACTATAGAAATTTCCATCTTTAATAGATTCCACAATGATGCATTTGTTTTCTTTAATTGATATATTATCATTACGTGTAATTAGTTTAACTTCCAGGAATGACTCTTTTATATTATTTTCAACAGATAAGACTGAAGCAAATTCCAGAGTATCGAATTCATCTATTGACAAACATAATTCCATACCAGGTTGGAACTGTTGAGTCCCTTCTTTTAAGGATGATAATTTAACAATGAGATGAACACCATCATCCAGAAATAACTGTTTCTTAATTATAATGTTATCAAGTACAGATTTTTCTTCATGGTGGTTCCAGTAAGACTGGACTAGTTTTCTATAATGATTTATTATAGTTTCTTTAATTAAAATGAAATAGCAATCTAAATAGTCACTTACACTGTAATTCCCACAAATTGAATCTTTTCGACTCATTAAATAATATGGACTTGTTAGATCCGACTGAACCACAAATACAGATTCAGAGGAACGGCAATCATCTATGTCATTCCAAGGATCTATTTCTTTCTCTTTCAATTTCAAAAACTTACTTTTCACTTCAACATCAAGTTCTTTGGGTACTGCTTCTATTATCTTTTCTATGTGATTAATAATGTAAGTATTTAAAGTAGAGGCATACATCATTTCTGCAGCAGCAAACAATGAATTCAAACATTCATTATCATTGATTATTATTTTGGGAAAAACAGAAGGTAGAATATTCAACCAAAGTGATGAAAATTGAACTAAATAAGATATATATTTGTTGCATGTGGAATATCTTCCACTACATGCCTTTGAAATGACATCAAAGAGGAGTGATAATGTATTTAAATCAATTTCAGAATCTTCCAAAATTTCAAGAAATTTTTTCCTGTTATAAATCAAATACTCTGCTAATTCTTGCCTACTGAAACCAAGTAGCCTCAATAAGTATTTCCTCTTGATGTCTTTCTTACTTCCTTTATTTTTTAATTTAATTGTACAATTATCCTTAAATCTATTTTCATTAGTTTCATTTATTACCGGATCAGGTTTCTCAGGTTCATAAGCTTTCATCTCATTTGGTAATATTCTTTTATTAAAAAATGTATTCACACAAAATTCATCTATACTTGCTACATCCATATTTGTCCAGATTTCATTGATATTAAACTGGGATACTCATAAATGTAAGGAAATGTTAGATTTTTTTTGAATTGGAAATTTTCAAAACTAAGTTAATTTGTTGCATAATCATTAAGATTAAAATATGAATTATTCTACTCCTTTTTCTGTTAAAATCACTCAAAATAGGCCAAAATAATCTGAAAAGAAAATAAAAATTCAAAAAGTTAGTAAACTATTATTATTAGTAATTAGTAAATTATTTTTATATTCATTTTGATTGTAAAATATAAAATCAAACACAAACAAACCTTTCTATAACAGGGACACTTTCACACTGAAAAACTAAGGTGTCTGCTCAAAAAGTTTTGTAAAAATAATCTTTAAACAAATCATTATCCTTTAAATGTATATGCGCTATTTTTACTTATGAACAGGTGCATACACCATGCAAAAATATAGCACTATAACAACAGTATGCAATGAATTATTGTAAAAAGATTGGTATTATATTTTAAAAAGCACCCTGTATATGTTTTATACAATTCATTTCAGCAATTTCTTCTCACTATTCATAAATCTCGTGCTTACTTTCTATCGTCTCTGCAATTTTTCAATTAATTTAAAACTGCTTCATCTTGTTCATTTGTTCAAGGCCTATCTGATTATTAATGGCTCTGTAACAGGTGTCATTTTGTCTGAAATCATTGTTTTTATCATAATCACTCATTTTGTATCTCAGAAAGTGACTGAGAGAATCCTCTCAGAAAGTGACTGAGAGTGAAGAGATCCTCTTTTGTCTGATATCTTGGCTTGTGCACCCACAAGGTTAGGTAACCAGAAGTTCAGAAAAATCTGAAAACATTGTATGCAAGCAGAGTATGTAACAACTATTTTTCATTTATGCCATATTACAGGTTCATAGAGGATGCAAGCTGGGAAAATAAGAGACTCAGCAAATTTCACCCAACACAAAAAAAATATTGAAGAACTTATAAAAAAAATAATAAGTTAGGAAAACTAAAAGTTATTACAACAACAACCTTTACTTAGGTAATAATAAATGTAGAATTTGAGACAGGGAAAAAAGGGTAATTATAGTCAACAGTAATCTCATTTGCAAAACACAACCTAATCATTTGTCTTAGACAAACTGAAAGCTTATACTAAATATTTACCATCTTGCTTTGGACCCTTGGTATATTTAAAAATTAAAAGAAAACAAGTCTCTACAAGGCAGGAAAAAATTGCTAGTCAATGGATTTAGGAGGAAGATTATGCTTGTAGCTTTTTTATGTGAAAGGTTTGATTATTTAAATTTATTCCCAATTATAAGTATGTTAAAGGAAACTTTACATTGACATTCTCAATCATCCATAACACAATAAAATGAGAATGGCCATATCTGTGGCAAAGAGAAAAGGGAAAATTTATGCTTGTCACAGATAGCTTTATTTTCCACAGCTTATCTTCCAAATCTTACATTTGAACACTTTCATGTTTCATGCAAAACAGAAAAAGACTTAATATGACTGCTCATAGATGTAACTACAGATGGTGTTTGTTTTCAACATGGTCTAAAAGTATTTTTAATATAACTTTTATTATAAAAGTTCAGGTTTAATTTTAACTACCATATATAATTATTAATACAAAACAGCAGCCTAATCATCTACCTTTGATCCAAATTATATAGTTTCAATGATTAAAGGCTGATGAAAAGTTAACTTAAAAAAATTTTGATTTAGCTGAACAAAAAATTCTTATTAGGGCTTTTTACATCACTTTGATAACACAAATTATTGAAGTTAGACTCTGATCAATGTAACTTCTCAAAGATAAATTTATATAGAGATACAATATGCTTATTTTATATTTGAAATATTCAACACTAGCAAGTACTGTATATGGCATTAATATATTGAATACATGATACAGTACATGTTAAATTATTTTTATGTTTCAATTTTTTAAAAAGAAAACACCAAGTTAAAAAAATATCTTTTATAAATATAAATGCAGGAAGAAAATGTCATTGTGCTGTGTGCCATTTTCAGCAGTAATAGTCAGGTTTTGGGCTATACGCAACTATTTTTTTTAAATTTTTGTATAAAGTGTTGGCAACACTTTAGAAGGAGTGAATGTGTATTTAAAGGATTGCAGATTGGCTTCAGGGCCTTTTTTCTTGTTGGGTCCAAGTATCCAGAGAACTGTGTGGTGAAGTGAAATCAGTCAAGCAGGTAATATCTGCTTAGTATCAAGTAATCGGCAGGTTTGCATTGGCGGAAATTCNAAGGAGTGAATGTGTATTTAAAGGGTTGCGGATTGGCTTCAGGGACTTTTTTCTTGTTGGGTCCAAGTATCCAGAGAACTGTGTGGTGAAGTGAAATCAGTCAAGCAGGTAATATCTGCTTAGTATCAAGTAATCGGCAGGTTTGCATCGGCGGAAATTCCAACCAGAAGATTAGAACATTTATCGGGTTCCCATCAATAGTCAGAAAGGAACCTTAAAACAGGAATTGATTTCGGTGTGAGACGCACATGGCTTGGTTGGCCGAAAGAACTGGTATTGTATAAAAACTCACTGTATGTGGTCGTTGGCCATATTATTGTATTTAATAATTAATAACTCTATAAATGTAAGTTAGGCTTAAGGTTTTCTTTCTTTCTATCCCTTTCCTGTTGACAAAAAAGAAAAGGACTTAATTTCTTAATTACCCTACTGTCTGATGGGGAGTGATGTCAAAAACGACGTTGTAAAATGAAAAGAGGACGAGAAAAACAAAGTAATAAAAAAAAATAGAAGGGATCTGGCTCTCGACGGAAAAGGTCGAGGGGAATCGAGATTCGAATTGGAACAGAGAAGAAAAGTGAAACTTGACGAGGGAGGTCGAGGAGAAGTTATCCAGCTGTTAAAGGAGGTCAAGCACTTCCTGCTGGACTGCCAATTTTATTGGACAGACACCAACAATATTGAAGAAAGTGGATTATTGAGGAGGAGAACAGGAGAGATCCGTTAAAGAAGGAGAAGAAAAAAACCAAGGAATGCCTCCACGATAGGAGTAGATGATCAGAGATGACAGCAATCATGGAGCACCCAGAGTAAAAACCCGGGTATTTCCGTCTTCCTCTTATTCTATCCTTATATTCTCCCTCTTTTCCCTTCTTATAGTTTGTAAGTAGATTAAGTATATATATAGGCATTTATAAAAAAAAAATTGAGTTGTTTTATGTATCTCAATTTTGTATCTTCATTGCCTACATGTTGGGATCCAATGTACAAAGAACCTGATAACATATAGCAAATTAAAGAACAGTTTGTAAATTAACAAGAAAGTGTTTGTTAATCATTGTTTCATTCACCAAAAAATGGAAATAACAACACATCAATTCGCCGGCAGTTATCACAGTATATGTTTCCTTTGGATTACTTTGTAATTTTTTTGTATATATCAACATTATATCTGTACATAAACTTAGTGTTAAGTGGCTTCCTTTTGTCTTCATTCCCACATGGTGACCTTTCACATCTCTAACATTTACAATTTTCTCAATACAGATTATTGTGAATCCCACAGTTGTAACAAACTTATAAAACTAAAAAATATACAGTAGAGCCCAATTATCCAAGGTAATGATGCTAACTCAAACTAATAAAAGATTTTTATGGTATCTCACTTTAAAAAGTGTCTTTTGCTCTATTAAACATTTTAATATGAATGTTCTCTCTCATGATGTTAATGATAAAAGTAATAGAAACAAATCATTTTGTAANCGTGACCAACGGAATTACCGAACGCTATAATTTAGAAATTGACAAGAAAAATTTTCCGTTTTCTACTTGGAACATTCTGCACATTCTAATTCAAATTTTGTTCTTTTTTTCGCCTGAAGACGACGATATAATACTCGTCGAAAGTACTTGCGATACAAGAAAAATCGTATTAACGCTGAACTCAGTACTTTTTATCAAGAAGGCTAAACAGAAGGGATCTGGCTCTCGATGGAAAAGGTCGAGGGGAATTGAGCTCTGAATCGGAACAGAGAAGAAAAGTGAAACTCGACAAGGGAGGTCGAGGAGAAGTTATCCAGCCTGTTAAAGGAGGTCAAGCACTTCCTGCTGGACTGCCAATTTTGTTGGACAGACACCAACAATATTGAAGAAAGTGGATTATTTATTGATGAGAACAGGAGAGATCCGTTAAAGAAGGAGAAGAAAAAACAAGGAATGCCTCCACGATAGGAGTAGATGATCAGAGATGACAGCAATCATGGAGCATCCAGAGTAAAAACCCAGGTATTTCCATCTTCCTCTTATTCTATCCTTATATTCTCCCTCTCTTTCCTTCTTACAGTTTGTAAGTAGATTAAGTGTAGATATAGGCATTTATATATAAAAAAAATTGTTTTATGTATCTCGATTTTGCATCTTCATTGCCTACATGTTGGGATCCAATGTACAAAGAACCTGATAACATATAGAAAATTAAAGAACAGTTTGTAAATTAACAAGAAAGTGTTTGTTAATCATTGTTTCATTCGCGAAAAAACAGAAATAACAACACATCAATTCGCCGGCAGTTATCACAGTATATGTTTCCTTTGGATTACTTTGTAATTTTTTGTGTATATCGACATTATATCTGTACATAAACTTAGTGTTAAGTGGCTTCCTTTTGTCTTCATTCCCACATGGTGACCTTTCACATCTCTAACATTTACAATTTTCTCAATACAGATTATTGTGAATCCCACAGTTTTAACAAACTTATAAAACTAAAAAATATACAGTAGAGCCCAATTATCCAAGGTAATGATGCTAACTCAAACTAATAAAAGATTTTTATGGTATCTCACTTTAAAAAGTGTCTTTTGCTCTATTAAACATTTTAATATGAATGTTCTCTCTCATGATGTTAATGATAAAAGTAATAGAAACAAATCATTTTGTAATAAACTTTACTTATACTGTAATTCATAAAAGAATATATTTTCTTATGACAAAGCCTCAGATAATGCAGAACCTTGATTAAATCAGGGATCTGATAATCAAGATTCTACTGCATATAAATCACAATTTTCACTTTTTCAGCCAATAATGAAATTTAAAAATTGTATCTGCATTAATATCATTATATATTTGATTTTCAAACAACAACATGCATAAAATAAATTCATCATGAACAATATGTGGAAAAGTAAAATTGATTGAG